TAAAGCTTTCTGCTTCAGATCTGCTACAATTAAAAAAATGTTACACACTCTGTTACATATGGCAACACTGATTGTCATGGTTAAATTATCAATGATTTGCTTATGGCTTGCTTATGACATATAAAGAGCTGCCTTACCAATATGGTAGCTCTTTGCATAATAATGTGTTGTTAGTGATTGTGGGATATTGCATTTTTACAGTAATCTACAAACCCATACCCCGTGTTTCTTTATGCAGCAAGAGTGTAGCGAAATGACATCACGAGCAGTGCTGACCAATTAGAAACCAGTTTCAGTGTGTTTGCTGTAAAGCGCTTCTCGAGCACTGCATAAAGAAACGCGAGGATCTACTCAAGCTATCAGTCATGGTGATTCATACTCAGAAATTTCTGGCTAAATCTCTAGAAATTTTTTGTTTCAAGAGTTAATTTTCAATTTTATTTTTTTGTATTAAATATACTTTTTATATTATATTCATGTATATAAATATATTTTCTTATAATTAATTAATATACTGGTACTTCACAATTGACACTGAGATGCACCCATAACACTTTCCTTACTTAGGCCAAGACAACACTAGCATAAAAACAGGTTAAAACCCCTCGCTGTAAAAGCTTTTAATCACGTGACCATGATATTTTACACCTGAGTAGGTCATAAAACCAGCATAAAAGCGAGTTGAGCAGTGTTCAACTTTCAACGTGAATACAGCCGTAAAACGATATCATCCACCAATCAGAAGTCAGTGAAATCTAGGTCATTGTGACACAGTGCAAAAATGGCAGAAAACGAGCTTTAGTGTACATTCTCTCATGGCTACTCTAGAATAGATCTGGAAAGATTTATCAAAAACATCCGAAAGTAGTTGTGTATCTACGACAAGAGATATCCCAATTATAATAATGAATGCCTAAAACACGCAATATGGACGGCCAAAGGAAAATATTTCAATTTAGACAAGTATATAATAAAAAAGCTAAGCTTATAAGTGCTGTATATTATCTTAATAATATGATAATAAAAGTTAATATATGAAAGTAGAGATATTATTTTTACTACATTTGTAATTATAGTACAGAAAAAACTCATAAAATATATTCATTTTCTTTATATCGACATATCACATATACAACCGTAACTTTGATAGGACCGTCACCATAAAAACTTCACTAGCTACAATCCAAGTACAAATGCAAATAGGTCACGTGATTAAAAATTTTTACAGCGAGGATTTTTATACCCATTTTTACATTAATGGAGTCTTGTCCTTAATTCAGCATTATTTATTCTAAATTACAAATGTTTTTGGTCAAATTTAGAGGCCTTCCTAACTTGAGGAAGGTCTCTAAATTATTTTCATAAAGGATTTTTTGAAAAAATATCCTTTATTTTATTACAGACTAAATAAATTTTTCTAGAATTTTGCTATTATCCTGAAATTAATCAATAGGACTTTTAAAAAGTGTTTATTGAATCATTCATAACAAGTGAAAATTTGGTACGAATCTATACGTCCAAATTACTAGTATCAAACTAGGCTTGTAAGTCATTGCTGTTTGAGCAAAAAAAGAAAAGCAAAAAGAAGTGACTTTTAGCTAAGATATTCTTCTCCAAAATTAATTCTATTTTTAGAGGTTTCAACTGCTGTGAGGAGGAATTTCATAATCAATGTATTATATGTATGTAATTAGTTTTGCTAGGGCATCAACCATGTACCCTAACTATTTACATCAATGAACAATAGTGTTTTAGCAAAAATCTTACATAACAAACATTTTAAATTCATCATTTTAAAGAGGAAAACATCAATTTTAAATATTGTTTTAAGAAACTATTATATTTTTACAAGTCATTCAAACATTACAGGAGACAAATCTTAAAAATCATATTTTTGAAGGATCACTGGTCACTAGTCATTATTGGAGTCCCTGTTATTTTTGTTGTTTTGTATAGCCACAGCTTAGCCAAAAATACAAATTTTTTTAATAAAACTGTGAAAAAGTTTGAATAGTTTTTTAATTCAATTAGCAATTGCTTGCATACTTTATTGATGAATTAAAATATTTGGAAAAATTGCAAAACTTTAATTTAGTACATTCATAAATGATCAAATCACAGAATCAAATAGTAATAGAATTTGATAGCATTAAGAGAATATGTATTATGATAAGTATATATCTCAATGTATCTTAAATATATATCATATATTTAACTTAAATGTAGCAATATTTAATAGAACCTAAAAAGGTTTTGTTAAAAAAATGTTACCTGTCCAGCAGTAAGAAAAAAAAAAACCTTTTTATCTAAAGCATAGTGACGCTTTTTTACAGACTCATCATACATGAGACATTGGACATGACAGGAATAAAATTAGAGTTTATTGGAGTAAGTGCTACGAAAATGCATTTTGGGTGTCATACTCCTCGTCAGTTCATATTTCTTAGGTTTCCTAATATTATAAGTATGCTAGATTACAATATTACAAAGGAATTTTTTTACAAAATAAACACAGCACAATTATTGTTTACATTTACCTATATTTTGTAGACATTTTTAGTTGTACTATTTCTAACATTTATTTTGTAAAAACAATTCCTTTGTAATATTGTAAGCTAGCATACTTATAACATTAGGAAAACTAAGATATACAAACTGATGAGGGGTATGACATCCAAAATGCATTTTCGTAACACTTATTCCAATAAAGTCTAATTTTATTCCTGTTGTCTCCAACATCTCATGTATGATAAGTCCTTAAAATAAAGCGATGCTGTGCTTCAGACCTTTCAATAGGTCACGTTTCTTTATGCAGTACTGCTCAATCACTACACAGCAAAGCATTTCTAAATTTAGCAAGGGATTTGCTGCAAGGGATTGCTGCAGCAAAGATAAAGCAGCTTTTATGTCCGCTACATGTGTAAAACAAAATGGACGCTTGTGTATATAATACAATATTATGCTGTAAAAATAAAAAAGTCAAAGTGACTATTGCTAAAAATATTATGGAAAGATTAAGAAGGATTAAATTTAGACTCTGAAAGTTATCTAAAGAATAAGAAAATACTATATTTTAAATATAATTATCTCTCCTATCTCTTTACTTTGCTCAGATTTTTGGAAAGAGAAATGCTCAATTCTTTAAATCTCTTTATTTAAATATTGTAGTTCTTTAACTAAAACACTATTTTCGGCTGTAACTGGAATTAAAGAATAGAATTATGACACAGTATTTAGCTCAAATGGAAAGCATTTCTAAACTATAATATAGCAACATGTAGCAATATCTGCTCATAATGTCATTTTCACTACATTCTCACTACATAAAAAAAACGCAGCCATACTGATATTAAACAAAACAAGAAGTTACATTATCAAGCTTTTTACCTATTTCACAATTTGGAAAAAACACTAAATAGTATAAGTCTATAATTCATTCTCTTTCACACATCAGCATTGGATAAAATAGTTTTCAGACCAGTTTAATCCAATCCCAATTTTATTTGCTTAATTAATCCAATCCCAATTTTATTTGCTTAATTAATCCAATCCCAATTTTATTTGCTTAATTAATCCAATGCCAATTTTATTAGTTTAATCCAATCCCAACTGCTTTTTTAGTGTTTCTTCCGAATTTATGACATTTTTATCTTAGTTATTGCTGTGATTTTGTTTTTCATCAATATATAATATACAATTGTAATTATATCACCACCAGAAAAATTTTCAACATCTTTTGCACATTGAGATGAACGAGAGCCTTAAAATAAGTCACTTCTGCCGTGGCCTCCTCGGACTATTTTATCCAATTCCAAAGCAGGCAAGAACAAATTATGAAGAAACTTGTGCTTTTTTAATGTTTCTTCTAAATTTTGGCATTTTTTGCTACAATTATGACCCTTGTTTTATATTTTTCATCACTATACTTTTCTTCTAAGTTCACATTTTAATAAAAATTAAGCAATTTTTTTTTTGTTTGAACATACAGTACAACCAAATATATTTTGCAATTAAATTGAATAATTAACAATAATAATCAAGTTTACATCATTAAAAAGACAATAAAAATATCTTTTAATAAGAGATTAGCCCAAGAATTCCAAACTTTTCCGACTGTTGACCCCTTCAAAAATTCCTTAACCTTTTATCAGCCACCCTCTTTGATAAATAAATCTGATGAACCAGTATTAATCCACACTCCGTTTCCATTGAAAGATCTAATTAGTGTGCAAATTTACATCATCCTGAATATCATATACATAACTCATTGGACTAATATTTTTTAATGAGCTGTTTTCAATTGACCTCTGAAAGTTCTATTTAAGCACCTGAGAGTCAATATAGACAATTTTGAGATCCCTGGAATAGACAAATGATATGACAAATACCATTTAATAGCCAAAATACCTTTTTTTTTTTCATCAAGGGCTGTTAAAAAGGGAGAAATTTTAGTACACTACTCAAACTAAACATGTATTATTTTCAAAATGTCAAGATAAACAAAATCCAGAACAATTATCAGATGCACAAATGCAAGAATGAATAAATCTGAAGTTAAAATTTATAATAGAATCTCCTTCATCCAAAAAGTACAATCAGTGATAAAAAGGCAAAGGATTTTGACAGATCTAAGTAAGCAATTCTCTTTTAAAAAAAATTCTAAGAATATTTTGGAAATGACAAAAAATATAAATGAAAAACATTTTATATTTATAACAAATTTAAATTTTTCAATTTTTATAAGACAAAGAACCCAGAAATCAATATAAAATTTTTTAAATACTTTAATATCAATTTTTTTTATTAAAAGGTAGTAAATCGAAAAATGTTTATCACCAAAATTCAAGATAATTATCTAAATTTTTTAATTAAAAAACTAACTTATGTATAGAAACGTGTCATTCGAGCTAAAATGCATATCTTTAAATATTTTAAATGCAACAGACAATAACAATAACAAGCCAAATCTATTATAAACACACATTTCAACAAAAACTTACCATTACTTGATTTTAAATCCCGATGTATGAGCGAAATAGGTGCTTCAGAATGTAAATAATTCATCCCGTGCGCTATCTGTATGGCCCAGTTGACAAGTATATCCGGTGGTATCTTCCTTCCGCTAAGAACTCTGTTAAGTGGGCCACCCCTGGCATATTCCATCACCAAACATAGATTCGGTTCTTGGAGACACACACCCTTCAACGCCACGATATTGGGATGGTTTAGAAGCCAAAACAATTTGGCCTCCTGTCTGACGTTCTCCGTTGTCACACTGATGTCCTCGTCGGGATCCTGTCGGGCCGCCTTCACCGCCACCTCCTGGTTTCTCCAGTAACCCCGGTACACCTTGCCGAAGCCTCCGACACCGATCACCTCTTCCAGTTCCAATTCCGCAAACGCAATTTCGAACGGCCTGTCCTCATCGCCAACGGGTTCCACCTTGTCCACATCTTGCTGCGTGACAAAATTGCTGGGAAAGATACCGACCTTATCACCGATTTTACCCGTCCACCAACCGTCGTCGCCCGAAATTTTCGCATCTTTTGACAAAACCTCCACCTGTTCTCCCCTTCGTAGAGACAACTCGTCTTCGCCTGTGGCTTCATAATCATAAATAGCCGTCCACCTGTCCTCACGACACCCGGACTGTACAGATTCCATGGAATAATCAATTAAAGCATTTCTGACGTCACTTCAGACTCCTAAAAGGTATCTTAATCCAAATAGGAGCATCTCCTAACCATCTCGGGGTTAGGCCTAACATCTCAACTACATCACCGCCCAATAAAACATAATATACAATTATTATCCCCTCTCATCGTGTTAGTTTATAACGTATTTTCAAAACGTAATCTTCTTTTCCGTACATTTTCCCATCTTTTACCTTTATTACTTCTTGGTTAAAATCAAATCTCAGACACCTAAACAACGGAGGTCCGCCATCTTTGGTACTTTGACCTGCAGACGATCATTGGGTGTGACGTCAGGCCAATGGGTTGAAATATTTGCAGTTATTTATCAAAATATTTATTTTTTTAAACCTTTTCGCTCTTGAAATTTTATTAAAAACGTCTCCGAACATATTTTTGTCGCCATTTTTTCTTCCCGTCCGCTATTAATTTTTCATTAAAAGTTCGTCTGATGGAGGCGCGTTACATATTAATTCGTTTGATAAATAAAAGATGGAATTTTAAAATTTAAAACTTTAATCCTTTAATAAACTTTAAACATTTTAAATTTATTTTCCGGTGTATAACGCAACGAGAAAATTATAATTTTTTTTAATTTGTCTGCATTACACCGTTTAATAATTTTATAAATATGCACTTAAATTTTAAAAAATTCTAATTAAAAAAAAAAACNTTTTAAATTACAAATATAAAATGAAACTGCATGCAATGCCAAAAACTGCAAATATACATATTAAATTAAAATTGTATATAGTTAAACCAATTTCTAACATTGGAGAAATATCTTTGAACAACCGTGGTGCGTCTGCTGGCTGGGTCTTGATCCCAATCTTGGTTGCAAGCTATTTGAGTATTGGGTATCACATGGTCTGGAATAGGCACACACTATCTTTGAACAGTACAAGATTATAAAAGAAATTTTATATTTAAATATTTACAGAAATTTTGAACATTAATATAATAAAAATAATGGTTTGTAAATACAACTAATGTTTAAAATATATATCCAGCAAGGAAGGATTTCAACTTCATATTTATTGTATGTCAGGAAAAAAGTAAATACTTTGGGGGACGATTCCTAACAATGAAAGGAGTAAAATGATTCACGAGGGCACAAATGGTTTCTGAGAAAAATGAGTCTCCAGACCTAATTCTGCCAGACTGCTGCATATGGGCCAAATGAACAATGAGGCATACCTAGAGAAGGTATACTCTTATACTCTTGTGATCAACTCATTGTATGATAATAAATGTCACAGTTATCAAAGATAGCTGTGACATTTGTTTGTCTTTAAAAAATTAAACACACTTAAAGTAAACAAAGTCTACTATAGCATGCTCAAAATGTATTGATGCTCAGGATAGCAACTTTGAGATCCTCGTCCAATGTCATCGTTCCATCCCATCATGAATCACAGTCTCTTGCAAAAGAGTAAATTCAACAGTAGCTTCTGTAAGTAAGTTAACACTTGACATGTCAAAGTACAGAACATTCATACCACTATCTTTGTTACTTCCTATAGGGTTCCTAGCTTAGGTTCTGTATTAATTTTAGTATTAGATTTAAGCATTATACTTTACTCTGTCTAACTTTTATGTATTTATTGGTGTAAGCTACAACTCGGGTTTTCTTTTAGACCCACGGCCTTGCAACCTAAAAACTGCATGCCAACATTAAATGTAGAGGGAATAGTAACCTTACATATGTCACTCTGAGGGATCTTTCCTTTCTCTTCTTTCATCTCCTCATCCTTTCCTTTCCCCTCCCTCTTCCCTTCTACCTCTGGTTAAACACTTAACAAAAGACAACAGCCATACACTATTTGTTATTTTTGTTACTATTAATAAATCATTACGTTCACAGACTTTTTTCATGGCCTCCTTACATTCATCTTTCCTCCTAATAGTAATTATTTGCAGATTATTATGGATACAATGAAAATTTCAGTTAATATTCACTCAAAGTATTTTACTTCCAAAGACGTTTAGATACTGATATGATTATAAGTAATTCTATGCTCGATATGGTTGTTTTCGCACAAGCTGCAAAAGATACAGGCATCCACACTTAATGTCAGATGCTCTGCCAGGATGTTTCAGAAGGTAAGATCAACAAGATAAGAAGTGGTAGAGAAGTTTGCACAGAGTAAATAATTTATAGGAAGTTATATTTATATATTTGCTATGGTTTAGTAAAGACTAAAGATGCACTTTAAGGTTACTCCTTCATTTTAATTATCGATAATCAAACAATAAACAGATACAAGATAAAGTACCCATCAAAACAAGCTGATTACGAGTCTTAAAAAGTCACACATAAATGTACAGAATACAAAGTAAAAGCAACAATGTACATAAATGTCTACTTATATATTTTACACTGATCTTCATGTATTAATCTATGAAGTACTTCGTGGGTAAACAATCCATTAAAACAGAAATTGGCATAAAATTTTCAAAAATATATTGCTGTTAAATATTTTCAGAAATTCAAAATTCTGATAAGGGAAAAGTTGGCAGAAATTTGTGATAATTAGGGGCCATTTGCTAACTTAGGCCCTGTACACACTAGGCGTTTTTCAACGCGCGTTTAACGCCGAGCTAACGCGCGTTAGCTCGGCGTTCAACGAGCGTTAGTTCGGCGTTTAGCACTGGCTCAGTTTGGAAATGGACGAGAAAGTAATTGATTGTGTGCGCTCCTCCATCGTCGCTATAAGGCAGCACATATATCTCAAAGCGCCCATAAAGTGCCCGCAAAACGCGCGTTTTAACAAAAATCTATAAACGCGCGTTTAACGCGCGCTTGGCGTTTGAGTGTGTACGGCTACATAGAACTCTTGGTTCTTTAAAACGCGCGTTGAAAAACGCCTAGTGTGTACAGGGCCTTACATATGCAGTTTTTTAACCACTTCCACCCTGTTGTGTACTTTTGGCAAATCCTCTCCTTTAGTTACACATACAATACTTCATAGACTCAACATTGAACAGACAAAAGAAAATATTCACAGAACTTTGGAAAAGGTGTGATTGTATGCTACAGTACCAGCAAAAAAATTAGATTTTGTAGCATACATTAAAAATGGACGGTACAAAACCTAATTTTTTTGTTGGAACTGTAGGAAAGGCATGATTTGTAATTCCAAAACTTCCCTTAAAAACAGACACATCTTATACTCAAAAACTTCTTACGAGTTGGAAAATATATTTTATTATAATCTTGTAAAGTAATGCAAGTAATATGAAGTATGTTTGCATGGTAAGACATCTGTTATTTGTAATCAAATTCAAATGCAACAGAAAAACTGTAAATTAAAAAACTAGCTTTCAAGTGCGGTGTAACAAAATTATATTCAGTTTAACTTAAATGATATTTCAATTTATGCATTGTTTGTGTATAATTACTAAGACAATAAAGAAACTTCCCGTTTGAGTCAGATGCAATTATTGTACAATGTTTTCTATTGCATCATTCATTGTAAAACTAATCTAAAATGTATGGAAAATATTTGAAGTCAAACATTTCTCAACCATCGACGCCTTAATCCCCCTCTTCCATCTTTTGACCTTATAAAATAATAACTTGTGCAATTTCTGTATCAAATAACAGATACTACTTAATAAATTATTTCATTTGTTTATAAAATATAATAATACAAAATATTTCCATCAAATATATGTATGTACACAGTTAGTTAGATGGCTGAAGAACTGCAAGTAAAACCATAATTGAATGTACAGTCATCTGCATTTGATGTAGCTGAAGATAAAGGATTGGCAAGTTGATAATTCCTGTAAAAAAATATTTATATTATTAATTTACGTACTAAAATTATTAATTTTCCTTTACATAAAAAATATAAACAATTAATCTGTAAAGTAGTCATTACCACTTTCAATAATGTATGAGAAAACAAGATGTAGGTGTCCTACAATATAACAATAGTGGGTTACCGTCCATCTTAGTCAATACTGTATTTCAACAACAGAAATGACAGCATAGAAATGTACAGGCCACATTTAATTCTGTATGTATCAATATACTATAAACAGCTTTCAAAAATCCTTCACACTAGTGAAATTTATTATTCAGTTACTTGTGAAACTTTTAGGAAAATCATGTGCTAGATTCTCTGAAATAATAGCTGCATTGCCTAGTAAAGCAGTTTTAATAGAGCGGTGTAAGTTGATTACAGTCTGTTTCAAATGAGATGAGCTAGGTCATCAATTTGCTTATCTGGTTGTTTTAAAATTGATTTACCAAACAATGCACCCAATGGCCACAGTTATTACATATATATATATATATTTATTTGTGTTATGCAATCCTCAAATATTCACATACATGCAAAAAAATTATCCTTTACCATCTTCTAAAAATACATTTTATCAATATTAAATTCATATACTGGCAGCCATTTTCTGTGATGTTTGATTCATTCTATATTGGTAATTTAATTATGATTATTGTTCTAATTTATACATATTTCTGAAGATTTAAGTTTTAATCATGTTTGAATCTATCACTAAATCAAAATAAAAATAATCTGTAACAGAATTTGATTTCCTAGGAGGTTTGCTTTGGAGACTTCCAACATGCCAACTAGAGTTTCTCGAATGGGATCCTGGTTGATTTTTTAAAACCAAGAAATCCTTCTCATCCCAGGAAATCCCACAAATTTCTTAAAAGTTCACTTTTTTCTTATTTTGTGTTAAGGTTGAGGAAATTTTGCAAATAGAAGGTATAATTAACTCATAAATTGTTCGAATACATTTGTATTTATTAATTATAAACCTACAGTAGTCACCACTGAACTTAGACCAGGCCACAGTTAACATGTCATCCAATAAACAGGTTTGAAAAAAAGTAGCTTTGATTCATTGCATGAATGTTTTACATAACTTAGATCAAATATACAGTAAATTAATCTTCATTTTTGCCAAATATCAACTTGATATCTTGCAAGTTTAACAAAATTGAGCCAGTCAAACTTGAGTCACAGTCATCAAAAAACATACTGCTGCATCACCCCATCAATGAACATAGACCAGCCAATAATTTGCATTTAAATAATGCTACAATTACAGTATTTCTAAAACAATTGATTATTTTAGTCTCACTTTAGCCTGCAGTAATCCTGAGAATGATATAAGGTGTTTTTTTAGTTTTATTTACGAACCTTTGCATTTTGTCTACAGTGACCAGCGGAAAAGCTGTTTCAGAAGATTTAAGGAATGCTATCATTGCTAAACAAAGTTGTGGCATGTCTGAGAGAGCTATTAGAAAAGAGTTAATGCTAAGAAACAGTGCACCAGATTATTGTTTATTACACTAACCACAGCCATGTTATACCTAACAATGCTGCTGGACATTAGCAAAAAACTTCAAAAGTTGATGATAGAAGTTTTAAAAAAATCGTAAAAAAGAACTGCCGTGCCACAGTTACTGAATGTAACTATAATATGGAATGATAAAACTGGAAAGAATGTATCTGTTTCGGTAACAAGCAGGAGACTGCAAGAAATGCATTTCCAGTTCTATGTAGCATGTGAAAAACCTTAGCTAACAGCACATCAAGAGAAGAAGACGGGTACAAAATTTCATGCCACTTTTGTTGAGACCAAAGAGCATCTTTCCTGGTCTCAACAAAAGTGGCATGAAATTCTGTGGTCTGATAAATCAAACTTTGAATTATCAGCAACAGACAAAAGCAAACATGTCATTCAATCTGCCAGTAGAGCTAATGAGCCATTGTTGTTATACCACTCAGTGAAGTTTCCTGCCAGCTTCATGGTTTGGGGATGTATATGTGCCAGTGGTATGGGTCAATTCGCATTTGTTGATGGAATACTTGGTTCAGAGCAATACATTAACATTCTACAACAGTATTTACTTCCATCCATAGCAAAGCTATATCCAAATAGAATCTGCATTTTCTAGCAGGATGGGGCAACTTATCATACAAGCAGAAAAAGAAAACAGTGGCTTCCAGAAAAGAACATAGAAGTTCTTTCTTGGCCATCCAACAGCCCAGATCTTTCACCAATTGAGAATATATGGAACGTTATGAAGAGATGTCTGCGAAAAACACACCCTCAGACAGTTGAAGAACTAAAAGCTTCCATCCTAATTATTTGGAATTCCATAACTGCAGATGAATGTGAATACCTAGTCAACAGCATGTCAAAATGTATGAAAGGTGTTTTGGCCACAAAAGTCAAAATGTATGAAAGGTGTTTTGGCCACAAAAGGTGATGCAACAAAATATTAAACATGCAGTGGTCTATGTTCATTGAAGCAGTGATCTATGTTTCTTGATGCCTGTGACTCAAGTTTGACTGGCTCAATCTTGTTAAACTTTCAAGCTATCAAGTTGATATTTAGCAAAAATAAAGATTAATTACTGTAGATTTGTTCTAAATTATGTAAAACATTCATGCAATTAATCAAAGCTATTTTTTTTTAAACCTATTTATTGGATGACATGTTAACTTCAGCCTGGTCTAAGTTCAGTGGTGACTACTGTACTTATTAGTTTTTTAAATTTTTGCTTCTTACGGCATGTCACAAATGGTCAATAATCAATACATAGCTTATTTGTGGCAGGATGGGTTAATTAACATAGTAAAAATATCATTTTAATAAAGTGTAGAATTCCAAAAGGAAACCCATGCATTATTAACTTGTTTCAATATAAGAACAAATATCATTAAAAATAAAAGGTTCTAAAAAAAGTTAAATAATTTAATATTGATATTCCATATAATTGTTTTGTTTATTTTAAATAAAAATCCTATATTTACCTTCTTGCAAAGACAATTTAAGAGATCCCGAAGGAGGTATATCGTAGAATACCAAAAATGGAGCCAAATTGGGTAATAACTGAAAGCCATTCTTCCTGCCAGATAAATAAGCTAATATGTTCTCTTGTTGGCCTAAAAAATTGAAAACTAAAGTTACTATTTGTGTAAAATCACTAATAAATATATTTAATTTGATTGTTTTCGCTTACCTCTTGCCAATACACCGATCACTTTTTCCAGCTGGTTTTTAATGGCCAGCGTAAAATCTGAACTCAAGAGCGGCTGTTTATCAGTTGCTTCGGATCTTTGTTGATTGGCCAACATTAATTTCAATTGCCACAACTCCAACATATTCGATTCTTTTTTCATTTTTTCTGCCATCTAAAGTTTTAAATATTGGTTTAACCAAATAAATTACAAAGAACTATTAAAAAAATCTGTTATTTCTTCTTCTAACCTGACAAAGTGCAAGACAAGTAGGAAGTATTTCCATTTTTTCTTCCAAAGCACATTCGTAAAGCAAGGAACTGAGCTGTTGTTGCCATTCAATTTCCTGTAATAATAGAAAGTAATTCAATAATATGCAAGATGACAAAATCTAGCAATAAAATATTGGGAAGAAACAATATTTGATAAACATTAGAATTTCCACATCTTACATGATGTTCTCCCCAGATTCTTTCAGCTGATTTTACCAACTATTTGTTTGGCTAGTTAATCTGGTGAATCAGCATTTCAAAATAACAATTCTTGTAAATAATATAGCTCCATTTCCATCAGAAATAGAAATAATCCAATTAATAGAATCAAAGATATTTTAACTTTTGTTGTTATAAGCAGAAAGAGGAAATCAACAGAAACAGAAAGTTGACAGGATAGAAAGCAAGAACAATCGTGATGTCAGTAGAGTAATAAGAAAGATACAATAAAATGAAATGTCAATCGCTTACAAGGAAACAAACATCGTGTTGCTACAGTAGAAAGTTCTTTGACACATATCAATATATTTTGAAAGTTAAATATTGATATGTGTATATATATATATATATATGTATATGTATANTAAGATGTAATAATATGATGTTTAATCGAACGAAGCTTGTAATTAAAATTTATTTATTTTAATCGTCTCACGTATTAATTACCGATAGATGGTGTTACACGTCAAACGAGTAAACGACGTGATGGTGAGAAGTTACGCAGTTGTGTGCTTAATTTAAATGAGAAAAGATTGGTTATAACCGCGTTGGTGTAGCCGAAAGCATAAATTATGAATTTATAAGCGTGGGTTAAACTTATCGTAGCTCTTAAAATATCATTTAATGTTTTATCACGCAAATTCTTTTAAAGTAAATCGATCTTATCGTTTATGCTATATAAATAGCCCACGTTACCTATAAAGCTGTGTTAGGAAATAATATATTGAATATTTTATATTATTTTTGGGGTTATTTAACATTGACGTCACGTACCACGTGACAATGCTAAAGAATCATCAACCATTTAATTTATATTGAATCAAAGGAAGGCAGAAAGTCATTTGTTTGGTAAGATTGCAGTTCTGAATGAGGAGTTTTGACCCCAACAAATTTTAGACCCCTCTAGACCAAAAATATCCTCTTTTTGAGTGTCTTCCAGATAGGTTGATTTGTTTGCTATTTTTTTTTTTTTTTCTTTTTTCCTCCTAAGGGCACAGCCTATCACTCTGGTAAGGTTTCGACTGCTTTGCAGCTGCAATTTTACCGAACAAATGAACTAAAGTTTACTTCTGCCAAAAGGTGTTCCCTCAATTCATTATGAATTAACTGGTTGGACACCTTAGAATTATCAAGTGGTATGTTGTATCGATATTAAATAACCCCAAATATATAATAAAATATTTCATACTTCTTAACACTGCTTTATAAATAATGCAAGCTGCGGAGAAGAAAAATATTTAGAAGTTACTTCTAAAAGCAACTTCTGGACGCTTTTTCAATACATCTCTCTCCGATCAATAGTAGACTTTTTTAAACTAATTTTACATTTATCTGTCTAAGGATAATTGTAAATGGTACATTTTAACAGCCTATATCTTAAAATAATTCATCTGAAAAGTGATGCAAAAGGAACCGTTCTTAAATCATGCAATGTTAGATCAATATGCCTGTTACTCTGTAAAAATATAGCATTACTACTTAAGTGAATTAGGAATTTGTTTTTAAAATATTTATCATTTTCTGAATTGCGTAATTTATGGATGACTTTTCAAATTTACGAAATAAGTCGTATTGTTTCGAAAGACTACTTATTATTAACTAATAGTTTTTTTCCTTTCTTTCTTTTAAATTTCTTAAGAATTACCTTGAAACTGAAATTGTAAAGTACTGTACAGTATGTTATACTAACACCAAGTTCTGCAACAATACTGATGTTAAAATGTTTTTTATTCATTTGATAATGTAGGATCTACAGCATTGACACTATCTAATTTGGGTTAAAGATAGGCAATTAAGTCACCATCTTCTATTAGATTTAATAATTAGAATTTAATTTAGAATATTCTGAAAGAAAAGATCAATCCAGAGCAAGACTCAAACCTGCAACTTCCACTTACTGTGCATACAAACTGCCAATCTTTACTTCCAGACCAATTCAAAAGATATAACTATACCAGACACTTGGAGTGATGTGGCATTACCCTTTGATAATGAACAGATAATTCATGCATGGTTTGCTATACGATTGTAAAAATTAGTACTATGCTATAGGCTCTTTAGAATATATCAATATAAAGTAAATAGTGTTTATAATGTTGTAATTATTAGCTTAATTTTGGCTTTTAGATAAATTACAGAATTGTCCTAAAGATGGCTTAATGTTTTAAGATTAAAATTCAAAATCAATTTCTAATTATTAATTTTAACACAAAATGACAGCTTAACCACATATCTTATTAATTAGGTTATTATTCTGGCCCAAAAGAATCCAGATTTAAATGTTTATAAAAGTATCTTTCTTTAATACATCATCAAATTGCTTTAAGCATTAAACGATAAAATTCTACTTAATGTAGAGGACGTGGTTGCTATATCATCAAATGCAGTGTGTAGCGTCTTTGTAATCCAAAACGAGTTGGTAGACGAACGGACAGCAATTGGTTAGAAAACGTACGTTTTATTTAAAAATTCTTAATTCATATGCATTTCGGGTTGGCTTATATTCCCAACCCCTCTTCAGTGTTGTCATATAATGGTACAGCATAGATGTATTTTAGAAAATTTTTAATTACAAGTAGTATGGTATAGCATTTTAGTTAGAATGTATTATTTCCGATACAAAAGGAACATAGTACAAAAATTACTAGACTAATTCTGTTACTAGACGAACAACGGATAACACCAGTTGTTAATTTTTGTACTATGTTCCTTTTGTATCGGAAATAATACATTCTAACTAAAATGCTATACCATACTACTTGTAATTAAAAATTTTGTAAAATACATCTATGCTGTACCATTATATGACAACACTGAAGAGGGGTTGGGAATATAAGCCAACCCGAAATGCATATGAATTAAGAATTTTTAAATAAAACGTACGTTTTCTAACCAATTGCTGTCCGTTCGTCTACCAACTCGTTTTGGATTACAAAGACGCTACACACTGATAAAATTCTAGTCATGCATCAATTGCAGGTATTCTTTTCACTTTTGCTATACTTTATTTTAGCTGTAGATCAACGAACAAAGTACAGTCATCCAGATTAAGAATTCCATTTACTTGTGTAGAAGATTGCAGCACTAAAATACATACAAGAAAGAAATTTTACTCAAAAGCTTTAATATAGAATTAAAAATGAAAAATTTTCTACTTAAAATTTAATTTTTTAAATTACAAATATAAAATGAAACTGCATGCAATGCCAAAAACTGCAAATATACATATTAAATTAAAATTGTATATAGTTAAACCAATTTCTAACATTGGAGAAATATCTTTGAACAACCGTGGTGCGTCTGCTGGCTGGGTCTTGATCCCAATCTTGGTTGCAAGCTATTTGAGTATTGGGTATCACATGGTCTGGAATAGGCACACACTATCTTTGAACAGTACAAGATTATAAAAGAAATTTTATATTTAAATATTTACAGAAATTTTGAACATTAATATAATAAAAATAATGGTTTGTAAATACAACTAATGTTTAAAATATATATCCAGCAAGGAAGGATTTCAACTTCATATTTATTGTATGTCAGGAAAAAAGTAAATACTTTGGGGGACGATTCCTAACAATGAAAGGAGTAAAATGATTCACGAGGGCACAAATGGTTTCTGAGAAAAATGAGTCTCCAGACCTAATTCTGCCAGACTGCTGCATATGGGCCAAATGAACAATGAGGCATACCTAGAGAAGGTATACTCTTATACTCTTGTGATCAACTCATTGTATGATAATAAATGTCACAGTTATCAAAGATAGCTGTGACATTTGTTTGTCTTTAAAAAATTAAACACACTTAAAGTAAACAAAGTCTACTATAGCATGCTCAAAATGTATTGATGCTCAGGATAGCAACTTTGAGATCCTCGTCCAATGTCATCGTTCCATCCCATCATGAATCACAGTCTCTTGCAAAAGAGTAAATTCAACAGTAGCTTCTGTAAGTAAGTTAACACTTGACATGTCAAAGTACAGAACATTCATACCACTATCTTTGTTACTTCCTATAGGGTTCCTAGCTTAGGTTCTGTATTAATTTTAGTATTAGATTTAAGCATTATACTTTACTCTGTCTAACTTTTATGTATTTATTGGTGTAAGCTACAACTCGGGTTTTCTTTTAGACCCACGGCCTTGCAACCTAAAAACTGCATGCCAACATTAAATGTAGAGGGAATAGTAACCTTACATATGTCACTCTGAGGGATCTTTCCTTTCTCTTCTTTCATCTCCTCATCCTTTCCTTTCCCCTCCCTCTTCCCTTCTACCTCTGGTTAAACACTTAACAAAAGACAACAGCCATACACTATTTGTTATTTTTGTTACTATTAATAAATCATTACGTTCACAGACTTTTTTCATGGCCTCCTTACATTCATCTTTCCTCCTAATAGTAATTATTTGCAGATTATTATGGATACAATGAAAATTTCAGTTAATATTCACTCAAAGTATTTTACTTCCAAAGACGTTTAGATACTGATATGATTATAAGTAATTCTATGCTCGATATGGTTGTTTTCGCACAAGCTGCAAAAGATACAGGCATCCACACTTAATGTCAGATGCTCTGCCAGGATGTTTCAGAAGGTAAGATCAACAAGATAAGAAGTGGTAGAGAAGTTTGCACAGAGTAAATAATTTATAGGAAGTTATATTTATATATTTGCTATGGTTTAGTAAAGACTAAAGATGCACTTTAAGGTTACTCCTTCATTTTAATTATCGATAATCAAACAATAAACAGATACAAGATAAAGTACCCATCAAAACAAGCTGATTACGAGTCTTAAAAAGTCACACATAAATGTACAGAATACAAAGTAAAAGCAACAATGTACATAAAT